AGCCTGCCCTTTGCCTTTGCCCCGTGTCCCATGCTTCAAGGGAGATCCCCAGAAAGCTCAGCCCCATGCCACCAGGTTTAAAACCTTGTCACTTGGGTGTCTGGGCTGATCTTGCAACCTGAACTACAATAGCAAAATGGATGTGCTGGGGCTGGGGCGGGAGAAGGCGAAGCTTGGTTAAGCATTGAGGAAGGACTTTTTGTTCATTAGGAGCCTTCCTCCAAGCCTAAAGGGAAGGGATCAGTCTTCATTCCAGTCTCTCTCATCCTGAGCTCCCTATCTAGGATTCCTTCTTACAAATGTGGAATGAGTGATTTTTTTAAAATATAAATTTATTTATTTTTAGCTTTCAACATTCACTCCCGCAAGTTTTTGAATTCCAAATTTCTACCCCATCTCCCCCCTCCTCCCACCCCAAGATGGCATGCATTCTGAATATCCCCTCCCCTAATCTGTCCTCTCTTCTATCTCTCTCTCCTTCTCTTATCCCCTTCCCCTTCTACTTTCCTGTAGGGCAGGATAGACTTCTGTACCCCATTTCCTGTATTTCTTATTTTCCAGTAGCATGCGAAAACATTTGTTTTAAGCATATGTTTTTAAAACTTTAGGTTTCAAATTTTCTCTCTTCCTCCCTCCCCACCCACCCTCATTGAAAAGGCAAGCAACTCAATATAGGTTGTATATGTGCAGTTATGCAAAACACTTCCATAGCAGACATGTTGTGAAAAACTAACTCTATTTCCCTTAATCCTATCCTGCCCTCCCATTTATTCTATTCTTTCTTTTGACCCTGTCCCTCCTCAGAAGTATTTACTTCTGATTACCCCTTTCCCAATCTGCCCTCCTCTCTATCATCCCCTGCTCTCTTGTCCCCTTCTCCCTATTTTCCTGTAGGGTAAGACAGATTTCCATACCCAATTGAATGTGTATGTTATTCCCTCCTTAAGCCAAATCCTATGAGAATAAGATTCACTCATTCCCTCTCACCTTCCCCTGTTTCCCCTCCACTGTAAGAGACTTTTCTTGTCTGTTTTTTTTTGTGAGATGATTTACCCCATTCTACCTCTCCCTTTCTTCTTCTCTGAGTATAATCCTCTCTCATCCCTTAATTTTATTCTCCAGATATGACCCCTTAATCTTCAACTCACCCTGTGCCCTATCTATCTATCTACATACACATACATATAATTTTTTTCCTCCAACTACCCTAATACTGACAAAGGTCTCATGAGTTATAAATATCATCTTTCCATGCAGGAATGTAAACAGTTCAATCTTAATAAGTCTCTTATGATTTCTCTTTCCTGTTTACCTCTTCATGTTCCACTTGAGTCCTGTATTTGAAAGTCAAATTTTCTATTCAGCTCTGGTCTTTTCATCAAGAATGCTTGAAAGTCCTCTATTTCACTGAATGACCATTTTTTCCCCTGAAGGATTATACTCAGTTTTGCTGGGTAGGTGATTCTTGGTTGTAATCCTATCTCCTTTGCCCTCCGGAATATTATATTCCATGCCCTGCGGTCCTTTAATGTAGAAGCTGCTAAATCTTGTGTTATCCTGATTGTGTTTCCACAGTACTTGAACTGTTTCCTTCTGGCAGCTTGTAATATTTTCTCCTTGACCTGGGAACTCTGGAATTTGGCTACAATATTCCTAGGAGTTTTCCTTTGGAGATCTCTTTCAGGAGGAGATCTGTGGATTCTGTCAATTTCTATTTTGCCCTCTGGTTCTAATATATCAGGGCAGTTTTCCTTGATAATTTCTTGAAAGATGATGTCTGGGCTCTTTTTTTGATCATGCTTTCAGATAGTCCAATAATTTTTAAATTCTCTCTCCTGGATCTATTTTCCAGGTCAGTTGTTTTTCCAATGAGATATTTCACATTGTTTTCTAATTTTTCATTCTTTTGGATTTGTTCTACTGTGTCATGATTTCTCATAAAGTCACAATCTTCCAGTTGCTCTATTCTAATTTTTAAGGAAGTGTTTTCTTCAGTAAGCTTTTGGACTTCCTTTTCCATTTGGCCAGTTTTGCTTTTTAGGGCATTCTTCTCCTCGTTGGCTTTTTGGACCTTTTTTGCCATTTGGGTTAGGCTATTTTTTAAAGTGTTATTTTCTTCAGTATTTTTTTTTGGGTCTCCTTTAGCAGGCTGTTGACTTGTTTTTCTTGATTTTCTTGCATCACTCTCAGTTTTTCCTCTACTTCCCTTACTTGCTTCTCAAAATCCCTTTGAGCTCTTCCAAGGCCTGGAACTGATTCATATTTTTCTTGGAGGCTTTGGATATAGGAGCTTTGACTTTGTTGTCTTCTTCTGGTTGTATATTTTGATCTTTTTCACCAAAGTAAGATTCTATGGTCTGTCTCTTTTTGCGCTGCTTGCTCATGATCCCAGCCAATTACTTGAGTTTTAAACTCTTTGTTAAGGTAAGAGTCTGCTTCCAGTGTGGAGAATGTATTGTCCCAAGCTTCAGGGGTTTGTATAGCTGTTTTCAGAGATACTTGTAGGGACCTGTAAATTTTCAGTTCTTGCAAGGTGGTATGATAAGGGGTGACCATTTTTTCCCCTGAAGGATTAGACTCAGTTTTGCTGGGTAGGTGATTCTTGGTTGTAATCCTATCTCCTTTGTGTTTACTCCTTTCCTGGCCTGTGACCACAAGTATTCCTTTCTGTCTTGTAACTGTGAGGAAGGGTTCCTCTCCATAGCCATGAGTGATTTCTTACAGTCTACGGCATTCCCTCACCTATCACGGCTGGCAGAGAGCCAGACCCAGAAGTGTTACACTGAGCCCTAACTAGGGTCTATGACCTCTCCCAGGATGAATTGGGTGCTTCAGGGCCCTTCATTCATAAACTGTGGGAACAGGCCGAAAATGAGAAGAAGGCCTATCTGCTGGACCTGGAGATAGAACTTGGGCCCAACAGGTGAGTATACCCTTGTCGATTCCCAAATCAACACTTCTCTGCTCCCTTTATGCTTCTCTTCATCCAGAAAAGCAAGCTAACAGTTCACATCTATATAGCATTTTAGGGTTTACAGACTTTTTCTCATAACATTCCTGTGATGTAATACAAATAGAGTCTCCATTTTATAGATGAGGAAACAGGTTCAGAGAAGTGACTTTCCTGTGGTCACTGCACTAGAGCCAGAACCAGGACTGAAATCCTGTGTTCTCCACTTTCTTAAATTTTCCTCTGGTACCTTGTCCAGATATCTCCTTTGGCCAATCACCCTCTCCTGCAACTTTATATTTGACTAGGTTGCACCAGAGATACTGTTCTGGACTTGGTCAGGTACACTCAAATTCACATCCTGCCTAAGACACTTAGCTGTGTGACCCTGGACAAGCCTCAAACCTTGTTCAGCCTTAGTTTCCTCCTCTGTAAAAATGGGGATACTAGCACCTACCTCCCAGGGCTGTTGTGAGGATCCCATGAGAAACTCTATTGAAAGCGCATCTGTGGTAGCTGTGATAAAAAGTGTCAGCTCCCTGAGGGCAAGGCCCATTTGATCTTTGCAGTGCTTTCCCCAGGCTGTTTGACAAATGTTTCCTATTGAATTCTGATTTCAAGTCCAGTGCTCCCTGTTGCCTTCACCACTGAGACACTCCTTGTCCAGTATGTAAAATACCACTGGGCCAGCCAGGCTCTTTGAAGGCTGTGACTTGAACTCCTGCACCTGAGTGTGTTACTAAGACCTGACTTGGGCCCTACAGAACATGCCCCCTGGGTCTGCTCTCTCCTCCTTGGGGGAGGAGCAGGAAATGCCATATGCTCCCTCCCTTTACCATCTGATGGTGCAGTCAGTATCCAGTGAGGGCTGGGAAGAAGCAAGCACTGCTGAGGTCTGTTTATTTGGGGCTAGGGCGGCTGAGACAACCCCAGAACGGCTGCGCCACGCCCTGACTTCCATTGACCCCTCTCTGGATGAGCAAACTCTGGACAACTACCTGAGCCAGGCCTTCCAGACCCCTATAGCAGAATTGGAGCCAGAACATAGCCAGCGACAAGATGTTCTGCTAACCCACTTACGAGCTGGAGCCATCAAGCGAATGGGCCCTCGGGAGCTTGAGCCAGCTTCCTAGACCCTCTCCCAGCCAACCAAAATAAAAATCCTACCTTTGTCCATGGAAGAAGGGGCAAAGGGACAAAAGCCACTCCACACCATAGCCTTGTTTCCCTTCCCTCTCTCCACCCCATTACAAAAGCAAAGATACCTTAATTTTGAAAACAAATATATCATTTGTAAGAATGTGCGTTCTATGACTGAGTGTGGCATGCACAGGGAGGAGAGGTGAAAGAAATAAGGGTGACTGCAAGGAAAACCAAGTTTCCAACATGGGAATCAGCAAGAAAAGTACCTGGAGACCTGGACTTGAAGTCTAAAAGAGCTGGGTCTGCATCTTGACTCGGGTCAACAATCCAACATACACCTTATTACTGTGAGCCATGCCCTAGATCCTGGCTGGGGAAACAGCAACAGAAATCATAGTCCCCACCCTCACAGTTCCCCAATTTATTAGGGGATACACCATGTGTAGATAGAAGGATGGTGGAGCAAAGGAAGGTTCCCAGAGAGATGGGGACAGAGCACACTCCTTAACACTCAGAATCACCTGGAAGAACACAGAGATGGGGGATGCCCAATCAAAAACCCAAACAGCTGCTTGCTGGGGTTTGAGCCAGAGGGCAGAGCACTTGAGATACCAGGACCAAGAGGATGTGATTTCTTATGTATGCAAGAGGGAGCCCCTGAAGGTTTTAGGGCAGAGGAATGATGGTAGAGGCAGGGAGGCCAGGTAGAAGGCCTGCCCATGGACAAGAGGCCGGCAGAGAGGCTGGACTGGCTGACCACTAAGCTCCGAGTTCTGAGCTTCTACAGTTGTGCTGCTTAATTATTCTCCCTGACTACTGCATGCCTGTGGCCTGGACTGAAAAAGAATGAGAACCCCATGGGGGGCTGGGGGGAGGGGAAAGTTTGGCTTTTGCTTTAGGCCCCCAACTCAGCCACACCACCATCTTTTTAAAGTGGCTTTATCACATTTTATTGACACCGACAGTAGCACGTAAAGAGTCCACTCCTGGAAAGGGCTTACATGGAGGCCTCAGCCTCAGGCTCCTGCTCTCCTCTCTACTTAGAGAAGCTGGGGCGGCAGCATCCCTATCCAGCAGGGAAGACAGCATTGCCACTGGCTGCACAAGGGATGAGCAGCCTCCGGTACTCCAAGGGCAGGTATCTCTCCACAAGCACATAGAGGGAAATATCATCAGTCACCAGGCCCTGCCTAGAGTGGGGAAAGTGGAAGGAGAAAGAGAAGAGAATGGTCATATCATACTTAAGGGATTCCCCTGAAATTTCAGCATCAGACTCTCTCTGGAGGAGGCTCCTTCTAACCCTTCCCCCACCTCTGTCCTCCACCCCCATCCCAGCCCTGGTATTCCTGAAGTTGGGTGATAGGCAGAAAAGACTCAGGTTCAGGCCTACTCACCGCCTCATCAACAGCTCCAAGTCAGCCAACAACACAGTTTTTCGGCCTGCATGGTGAGCAAAGGTCTCTAGGTCATCACAAAGTGTCCTGAAATACTGGTTCAGGCTACAATGAGGGAGGGTAAGGCAAGAGTTAGGAGCCCAAAAAACACAAAGTCAGAGCCCAGTATCCTACACTGTAAGCTGGACACCCACAAACATGGAATTCTCCATTCCCAGGTGTGGGGAAAAGGAAAAAAAAAAAAGGTGACCTAGAGCCCTGACCATTGCCAACACCAGCTCACCACTTCATCAGGGTCTCAGAGGCTGACTTCTCCATGGGAGTTTTGGCATAGAAGCTGAAGACTTTGCAATAATTGTTCAAGCCAACTTTGTCTGGATCACGGGGTTGCCTAGGGCCTGGGGCACGGCGCTTGGGAGCACGTTTGGCCTGGGTAAGCTTGGAGGGCAACCTAGGAATCAGGAATAGCACAAACAAGATGGCTCCACCAACCTGGCAGGGCAAGAGCACAAGGGTCCAGCCCAGGCTCCTAATCCCCTGCTCAAATTTCTAAGGCACTTTCATCACAATATTGCTGTCAGGTAAGTTGCATAAGTACTGAATAGGGCCCAGGCCACTTGGAACTAGATGCTCACCATGTCTCTGCTCGTCAGCTGGCAGTCCTTTAGGAGATGGCCCCAACCTACATCTCCAGCTTTATTTTTTACAATTTCCACACACACAGCCCTGTTTCAGCTAAGCTGGACCACTCAAAACTGGCCACCCACTCACTGCCTCTCCCATCTCCCAACTGCTAAAGTCCAGGCCTCCTCCAGAAAGCCTTTAATCTCTCTGTCCTCTGAGACTTCCCTAACCTTCTTGAGGGGCAGTTCCTGTTCACATTTGTATATCTTACACGGCAGCTTTGTACATGTTAGGCATTTAGGGACAAAATCCCTTAACATCCAGAACCAGGCTTGTGTTGAGGAAAGTCCTGAATACCTGAAGAGCTCATCGTCCTCCCCTTGACAGGGCCAGGCAGTTCATATCTCTAAGCCCCAAGAGAAACCTGACCAAGTACGGTCTAACTAAGGTAAGATACAAAAGAAACACAAAGGGTGGGCTTCAGGGACATTCTATGCCTCTGAAACCCTGAAAAGGACAAGAGGCCAGAGGCCCTGAACAACTGCAGGAAAACAGGTATAAATACCACTAGCACTGAGACTGAACCACAGACTAGGAATGGTGAGCATCAGTTTTTCCAAGGCCTTGTTCCCTCTCAGATGAATAATGAAGGAAAAAAGACAGCGAGTGTCAGAGCAATATACAAGATACTTACAGGGTAGTGTTAGTATTAGGAGGTACTGGGGAGGTAGGCTGTAAAAGAGAATGATATCGCTTGGCCCGGAGAAATTCTGGTGTCTTCATGCTAAGTTCTGAGACAACTGAAAACAAAGAAATCAAGAATGACTGATGCCATCCACTGGCCAGGTAGAAACCACCTATCCCCTCAAAGTCTGCCTCTTCCCGACCCTTAGCAAGGCTTGGTCAACACTGGTCAACAAACCAGCATGGTTCTCAGGGTTTCCACAGTGAAAGCCCTAGGTGGCTGGGAAAATCCCTTTCCCTGTGTTTGAATGTCTGAATGATGTACTGACCATTAATCCCAAGGAATTTTTCCTTCAACACTCCCCACATTCAACTGGGCTAAGCAGCTTATAAGTCTAAGGACCCATAGGCTTTCAGCAAAAACCTAAATAGCCTTTCCCTCCCTATGACAGAATAAGATTGGGAGTATTGTATGTTTCTGGAACCCTGGTCTCAGTTGAACCCTGACATTACCGGTACTTTGGAGGATTTCTGTGTCCTCTTCAGACTCTCTTGCCTCCTCATCCATCAGCCTCTCCTCTTCTTCCTCTACCTGATGAGCCACACCTGACTTTGCTCTGGCTTCCCTGGAGATGCTGCTTCTAGCAGGTAAAGAGCGAGCAGAGAAGCAGCTGTTTTGACTTGATGTCCCTGTCCAAGGTCTGCTTCTTGTTCCAGCAGACAGAGAGCTGGTAGAGAGGGGAGTGTTTTGACTTGGACTTTTTGTACCAGACTTAGTTTGTTTCCTAGGACCTAGGTATCAAAGAAGAAAATTAAAGAGATTGATGAGTTTTCTATAACCCTGATCCCTCAGGGCCTACCCCACCTCTAATCCCCAACCAGATCCCTGGACTGGAAAAGCACATAGTCATACAGTGACTAAGGTAACACCCAGCACCACTGCATCCTAGGATGTCTAGAAAGCACCAATTTGCTACCCATGACACCAAGCACGTGGGCTAACTCTGACTATGACAGCCCTCTGCCCTACCCTGACCCCTGTACCCTTCTCCATTCTTTGATTAGCTTGCTGGGTCACGGCCTTCAGTTCCTGGCCCTTTGCCAAGCTTCTCCTGAGGCCTATGGAGTCAGGACTCGCCTGGAAGGACCTATCCCCATCCACAGGAGTGGCCCTGTGATAAGTGCAACGATCTAGACATGAAGGAAAGAAAGGGAAAGGAGATGATCCTCAGAAGGCTGAGCTCCTGAACTGAAGTAAGGTCTGTGACCCAGGAGCTCACCCTTGGGGCTGGCTAACCACACTGAAGACCTAATGCCACAAATCCCAGTCAGCCCTACTCAGCCATCTCTTAGGGAAAAGCCCCAAGGGCTCAGAGGCTCTTCACGCCAGACACTTCATCCCTTAGCTTCTCTGCTCCTCATCAGCTGGCAGCCCGCTCTCTCAGCTACCTTGCACAGTCAAGGCTAAGGGAAAGGCTGGGTGACCTCTGCCATAATGTTAGCACATAGGAGGGGGCTCCTTCTCTACCCAGGGATCAAGCTACAATTGGCAGTGAAGGAGGGCCAAGGCTGCCTTCTCCATGTCTCAAAGCAGCTGCCTACTATGGTGGGCAGGGAACTTTGAAACTGTCCTACTGTTTGAATAAGCAATGTACTAGACATTGCCTAACTTGATTCTGATTTTATCTTTAACTCTTAATTGGCAGTCTTCAAGCTCATTACTGTTACAACGCCTCCTTCCCTGCTGTTCATAGGAATTTCCAAAAGGGAGGTAAGAACAGCCAACTCTTCAGTCACTTCCTTCTCACATCAATTATATGGCTCGGGAAAATCAAAATAGACTTTAAAAGGAAAAAAGTGGGGATCCTGAAATGCCATGTAAGCCAGAATGCCCAGTCGGTGACAGTGGGAGGAAAAGAGAAAAGAGGGCAGGATACTTGGGATTTTTGTGATAAAGTCTAGACCATCTCCTCACACAGCCCAGGGCTAGATGGCCTTACCTGGGAGAGGAGTCAATGGGATGTCCTTCAGTCTTTGTTCAAATGCTTCCACATCAATCGCCTTACGGTTTGGGGGCCTTCGGGCCAAGCCAGGCCTCTCTATAGACTCAGGGGGCCTAACTGTGGCCAAGGTCAGGTTGAAGGACCTGACAGAAGGGAGGCTTGCTGTGAGTCCCTGCTGAGTCAGACATCCATCCCCCAAAGCACGTTCCACTACCATGGCCTATTTCCTTGGAAAGATTTCTCTTCCAGTAGCTACTGGATGGCTTCCTGCTACGTTCTATAATCTGTCCCTCTTCCAGTCTCTGGGTTCTGTCCACCCCCCTGTCATGGTAATATAAATATTTTCTTAGGCACCTGGTCACAGAGGACTTGTTGGCTGAAGCTGGCTGCCTTTCAGTGAGATCTTTTGTCCAAAAACAAGAAAAACACAGAAGAAATCCTGATTATTAGTGCAAGAAAATGGGGCAGAAGCACAATTGAATCCCTGTGGACTTCTCCTCCCCGTATCACCTCAAACCTGCTGCTCAGGCAGTTCCAAGTATTCTTAAAGTTCAGTAGAGCAGTCAGCAGTGGGCAGGCCCCACAAGAGTCCCAGTAAAGGGGTCAGGAACCTGGAAACCTCACCTGAAGCAACAGCAAGTCCTTGGTCCACTTCCTGTTCAAACTCAGACACTCTAAGGCAACGCTTCTTCCTGTTATGCATCAGGAGCCCTGGAGCTACAGTCACAGAGGGCTCCAGCTCAGGAAGCTGCAACTCCAGACTGAAAGGAAATCAGGCCAACTTTCAGCTATGTGTCCTTGGTCCTGTGGCTTCCTTAGAAGCTTTTAATGCTCAAAATGCCTCACACCTGTTCCACTTGCTTTCCTCCTGTAACTCAACAGGTTCTGGCTCCTGTGAATTCATCAGCGAGGGTACCAGGACAGAGGCTTCTGAAGCTGCAAAAAGGACACTTGTTGGAAGGGAGCACAAGATGGGGCTGGGACCCCCGTGCATGAAAAGGAGGTCCTGGCAGCGAGGGTCAAGAGGAATCCACCTCTTCTATTTCAGCAGCCTCTGACCCCATGTTGTCCTGCTCTGGAGAGCAGCAAGCTACCTCTAGAGAGAACAGCCATCATTCACTGAAGAGTCGACTGCCCACACCTAGGCTTGAACCACCCTGAGGCCACACATCCATGTGTGGCCACTCCTGACACAGGGCTCCAGCAGTGCTGCCTTAAACCTGGATGCCCAGACCGTGGCTCACCGGTCTGCAGGATTTTCTTCAGCAGAATCCTGGGTGTGCCTTCTTCTAAGAAATCATAGTGCTCAACAAAGAGCTGACCATCAGCTCCAGTGTCCTTCGGCTGAGCAGGTACAGTCTACAGAGGGTATATGAGGAACAGACAAACATGTCAGTACCAAGGTACTTATTTTAAGTAGACCTATTCCCTACAAGCCTGAGGTCAGTACCACCCAGTAATCAGTCACCCATGGGTCCAATTTTTAGAAACCCTTCTTCATACCATTTTGAGCTGGACTACAACCAACATTCATATAACCCCAATAATGACAACTTACAATTCTGTACCATTAAGGTTTATAAAATCTTTCCAGACAACTTTATGAAGTAGATATTGCAAGGATTATTATCCTCACTTCAAAGATTTTAAAGCCAAACCTACTATCACTAGCTTCACAGCTAGTGACAGAGAAGAAATTCGAAACGGGGTCTTCTTCCTCCAAGTCCCATGTTCTTACAAGTACAATACTTTTATAGGCTCAAAGGATCTGCTTACCCAGGCCAAGTCCTCATCATCTTTGGGCAGCTAAGTGGCTGCCTGGAGGAAAACCTAAGTTCAAACTGGCCTCAGACACTTGCTAGCTGGGTGACCATGGGCAGGTCACTTAACCATGTTTGCCTCAGTTTCCTCATCTGTAAAATGAGCTGGAGAAGGAAATGGCAAACTACTCCAGTATTTTTGCCAAGAAAACCCCAAATGGGGTCACCAAGAGTCAAACGTGACTGAAACAACAACAACAACAAAGGAAAGGTGGAATTGTATCCTCAATTTCCAGACCAGAGGACCTCCAGGTTTCATAGTACACCTCTCCCCTACCCTAGTCATTCCAGGTCTTTCAAATAGGTGATGAGGGAATCTGCAATGTTTACCTTTGTTTGCTTACTCAGAAGTGTTCGGGATGGAGGGTCACGTAGGTTTCGGCGTGGATGGCCCATGGATGTGGAAAGACTTCTCTTGCTAAAAAAGCATACAGGTAATTTAAGGAGACCCAGAAATAGCGCTGTTACTAGAGGTGTCTTGTTCTAATTAGGCCAGTTCTACATATGTCCAAAGGAATAGCGTCAGAAACACTCTTAAAAATATCTCCACCCCTGGAACTGTCCTGGGCTCTCATAGGTGATCTTTCACTTTATCTCAGGAGGAATGAGGCTCACCTTCGGGACACCCAGGAAACAGGATACATAGTCCTCCCCTCCTAGCTCTCCTTTATGTGTCTTCGCCAATTAGAATGTAAGGTCCTTGAGGGTATTGTCATGCCTGCCTAGCACATAGTAGGTATTTAATAAATGCTTTATCTTTCAAGCTAAAGTTCAGGCCCTTAACATATTTTTTTTAAACTTTGCAGAGCAAACCCGGAAAAAGCTTTAGAATACTGCCTTGTGACTTTCAACAAATCATTTCAAGCCTCTGTTCTTCAATTTTTTCCTCTGCAAAATAAGGTTGGACTAGGAAATTCCTAAGGTCTCCTCTAGATCTAAAACTTTTTTCCTATGGATTTGCCAGGCAAATTGTGATAGATATCCTTGAAAATAAGATAAAAGGGTGGTCAGAAGACTAGGCGACCCACATTTATCTAGCACTTAAAAATTTTGAAGAGTTTTCAGTATATTGTCCCATGGGTCCTTCCAACAGCCTCATAGAAGGAGGTAAAAGGCCCACATTATAGAAAAAGAAACTGGTCCACAGTGGGGTAGTCAATTAATGTAATCACTAGAGCCACCTTCAGAAGCAGCATTTCATCATAGGTCTCTCCCAGTCCAAATCTGACATTCTTTCATTAGCCCGTGGGGAGGTGGCGCCATAGTGCACAGAGTACTGGGCCTAGAGTCAGGAAGACTCATCTTTGTGAGTTCAAATCTGGCCTCAGACATTTACTAGCTGTGTGACCCTGGGCAAAGTCACTTCACCCTGTTTGCGTCAGTTTCCTCATCTGTAAAATGAACTGGATAAAGAAATAGCAAACCACTCCAGTATCTTTGCCAAGGAAAACCCAAATGGGATCACCAAGAGTTGGACAGGACTCAACAACCATTAGACCATCCTGTCCTAAATTTCACATGAAACCCCCAGTGAATTATAAACTACACTCAAGTACAGCTAATTGTGCCCAGTCCCCCACAGTCATTATACAGAAAGATTTCCATTTTTGTTTTGTTTTTAAATGTATCCCTCACAATGTTCAGTAGGACCATCTGTGCTTTCTGACTGACTTTACTTAGCCAGTCCCAAAGCCACAACACCCACAAGTTGTTTAAGGGATGTTGCCTGACCCTGGGCTTTGGATGACAGACCAACCTTTGCCTAGTATTAGATGAGACTGGGGAGCTTAAAGGCTGTGTCTCCAGCACATGATGAAGCAAGGTCCTAGTGGTCCCTTCATTCTCAGAGAGGAAGGCCATGTTGTTCACCTGGATGGGATCACCTGGAATGGATCAAATTGGGGGGGGGGGCAGGGTGTCTTCAGACAACCTCCTTCATTGGGAGTGGGAAGTTGAGGACAAAGAACAGAGAATCTTGTGGGCATGGAGCCTTAAAGGAAAATAAACGAGGAGTATGGAAGTACCAGGATGAGCCCCAAGGACAGAACGAAGAAATGGTGGCTGGGTGGAGGGGTACAAGGAAGTGGCCGAGGGGGAGGGCAGGAACTGGGAGGATGAGGAGGGGCTAGTACCTCCGAGTAGCTCCTGGGGCAGAATGGTGTCAAAGGGTCTGGAAGGGTTCCGCACCCCAGGTGAGGGCCCTAAAGGGGAGGAAATGGGATGGGGCCGGCGGAGTGTGAACGTGGGAGACACCCGGGAGTGGAGGGCAGAGGAGGAGCAGGCACCCCCTCCCCAGGGCTGGATGGGGAAGGCCGTGGGCAGGGGCCTCTTCTGGGTGGGTGACAGTCATGGGCACGGTCGGTGGCAAGGAGAGGGAATCCATGGAGCCAGGTGGGAGGGGGCCCCCGGGGCCCCTGGGGAGGAGGTACCACCCCTCAGGCTGGGGCTCAGGTGGCGTGGGCCCGGTAGGGAGTCAGTGGATGGGATCAACGGTCCTCTTGGAATGGAGCCCGTGGGGTGGGACGAGAGGGCCCCCTTGGGGGAGCTGCCCCCTCAGGGGGCAGGCCCGTGGGGAGGCCCGGTGGGGGTACCCCGGGAGACCGTGGAGCGGCGGCATGGGGGGCTTAGGGAGGTGCTCCCCCAGTCCCGGGGAGGCCCGTGGAGAAGCGGGGCTGGGGTTCACGAGACCTCGGGAGAGGGAGCCCGCGGGGCATGAGGCGGGTCCAGGTCAAACCCAGGCCGCCGGCCCGCTGCTCCATCGCTGGGAGACGGGAGACAGGAGAAAGCCCAGGAGGAGGGGGCGAGAGGGGGCTGGGGCGGGCTTACCAGCGAAGCCGGACGGAGGTCCCGGGCCGCCCGCTCTCCGAGCCGGCAGCCCGCACCAGCGCTCCCGCCTTAAATTTGAGCCAAATATCGCGAGCGCAGCTGCACAGCCCCACGGGAAATGTAGTTCTCAGCCGCGGCCCCGCCTGCCTGGGCGACTGGCGGCTGGGGCGGGCGCGGCAGAGGTTCGTGGCAGGTGTAGGAGAGAGAAACTGGGACGCTGCATCCTTGCCTCTTCTCACCGCGTTTCTGGGTGCTCTGCGCTGTACAGGGCTCTTTCCTCTAGGAATTGTCTCCTATGTATCTTCTGTCTCTCTCTCTCTTCCTCTCCCTCTCTGTCTCTTGCATGTTGTTTCATTAGATTGCAAGCTCCTTGAGAAGAGGAACTGTCTCTTGCCTCTTTTTGTATTCCCAGCCTTAGCCCAGTGCCTGGCACATGGTAAGCGCTTAATAAATGTTTACTGATTAATCAGTTGATCAATTCCTCTCCTCCTATAAGTGATCTCTTCCAACTCTGCTAGCATTTCCCATATCTTCCATACACTTGTCCTAGCCTGCTTTGCATTATTATTTGTGTACGCTTTCCTTAGTATACTGTCTTATTTATCTTCCCATCTCCCTCAGTGACCAGGACAGCACAAGATTTGCACAGTGTTGTAGTGGGAGGAGTTCTGGATTTGTCATCGAAAAATAGAGCTTTGTCACGTCTCCACCACTTGCCAAATGTATGTGGAAGGCATTTATTAAGCACCTATTATGTGCCAGGCACTGTGCTAAGCACTTTACAAATATGATCTCATTTGATCCTCACAACAACCCTGGGATGTAGGTGCCATTATTATCCTCATCTTACAGTTGAAGAAACTGAGGCAAGCAGAAGTTAAATGATTTTCCCTAGGGTCACATAACAAATAAGAGTCTGAGGCTGGATTTGAACACAGGTCTTCCTGACTCCTGCCCCAAAACTCTGTTCACTATACCACCCAACTGTGGGCAAGTGACTGCATCTTTCTGTGCTTCTGTGATTTCATCTATAAAATGAGAATGATAATATTTGCAATACTTACCCTAGAGAATTGTCATGAGTTTCAAATGAGATAAATGTCAAATACTTGGTTAACTTTAAATATCTGTAAAAATGTGACCTTTTATAGCAAGCCCTTACATAAATAAAATTGGAAGGTATCTTAGAGATCTAGTCCAACTGCCTATTTTACAGATGAGGAAACTGAGGCCCAAAGAGGGGAAATTAGTTGGCCCAGGTTATTACCAGGATGTGAACCCAAACACAGGTCTAGCGTCTTTCCACAAAACCACAAAGAGTCTCTCAGGTTGAACTGAATTTGCTTGATACTTGCTGATTTAATGATGACACCAAAGAGGATTTTTAGAGGGATAGAGAACTGTGTTTGTGTTTTTTAATATATGTGTCCTGGGATCCCTTTCCAGAGACATAATTAGCAATTCTGGTTCCTGGAGCAAGCATGAAGGGGAAGCCTCAGGGAGGCTTTCTTTGGACACAAGGCCCATGGAAGAAAGAGACCACCATAAATCTGATTCATAGGGGTCAGTAGAAGGAGATAGAAAGCAGAGAACACCCTGGACACCCTAATGAGGATGCTGCCACTGTAAGAGGAGCAGAATGGGGCCAGCAGGGACCGTCCTCCACTTTCACTGTGGTGGTGGCAGTACAGAGTTCATTCCTCCCCGCTCAGGCGTAGCTATGCCAGGAAAGGTATAACCTCTCCCAAAGACAGTCGAACTATACCCCTTTAGGAAAAGGGGAGTGAAGCCTAGCAGTGAGCAAAGATATGTCATTACATGTCTCCCTCAAGTCCACTATTCAAGAATGAATCAATCAATCAATAGTCATTAAATATTTATTAAGCACTTACTATACAGTCATCAGGCATGGAAGACCTGAACTCAGGCGGTAGGATGTATGAGTAGAGAGAAGTCAGGTGTGAAATATGGGATAGAGGTAAAAAAAAAAAAAGACAAGATTTGATAACTTAATGAATATGAGGGGTGAGGAAGAGTGAAGAATCAAAAATAAAGCCAAGGTTATAAATACAGGAGACTAGAAGAATAGGGCAGCTAGGTGGCACAGTGATAGGATACTAGGTCTGAAGTCAGGAAAACTCATTGTTCTGAGATCAAATCTGACCTGACACTAGTGTGACTCTAGGCAACTCACTTAACCCTGTTTGCCTCAGTTTCCTCATCTGTCAAATGAGCTGGAGAAGGAAATGGCAAACTACTACAGTCTCTTTGCAAGAAAACCCCAAAGGAGTCACAAAGAGTCAGACATGATTGAACAATAACAACAAAGTATAGTGTTAGATCTTCTACAGAAATACGGGTCTTTAGAAGAGGGGTGGGTGTTGGGGGAAAAATAATAAGTTCTATTTTGGATGTGTTCAGTTTGAGATATTTCTGGGGATATTCAGTTTAAACTACCCAACAGGCAGTTGGGGAAATGGGATTGAAGCTCCAGGGAGAGTCTGGGGCTAAACAGATACATCTAAGAGTCATCAGAATAGAAGTAATAATTAAACACATAACATATAGGATCAGATGAGGTAAAGAGAGTGTGTAAAGAGAAAAGTGTAGGAGGCCTAAGTTAGAGCCTTGGTGAAAACCCACAGTTAGGTAGCATGATTTGGATGATAAATCAGCAAACGAGACTGAGAATTGATTAGATGAATAGGAGGAGAACTAAGAGAGTATCACAAAAGCCCAGAAAGAAAAGAGTTTCAAAGTGGTCAACAGTGTTAAAATTAAGCAGATAGTTTGGAAGGATGAGGACTAAAAAAAATCATCAGATCTTACAGTTAAGAAACCATTGATAACTTTAGAGAGAGCAGTTTTAGTTGAGTGATATAGTTTAAAGCCAAATTGCAAAGGTCTGAGAAGAGAGTTAATATGAGAGGCAATGGAAGCAGTGAGTATAGATAGCTTTTTCTAAGAGTTCAGCTGTGAGGAGTCCAGTAGATAAAAAAAGTTTGAAGAGTAGAGGGGTGGGGGAATGACCAACTACTGGAAAAGATGGAAGCAAATGGGATCTAGACAAGAATGTACTAGTAAATGTGTAATGACGAGATGCATAACGCACGTTTTAAGTTTAATCTGTATTAGAGGTGGAGCCAAGATGGTGGAGAAAAAGGCAGAGACTCAAATGAGCTCTCCCAAATTCCCCTCCAAACAACTTTAAAATAATGCCTTAAAATTATTTCTGGAGCAGCAGAACCCACAAAAAGATGGAGCAAAACAGTTTTCCAGACCAAAATAACTTAGGTCAATAGGAAAGGCTTGTCACACAGAGATGAGATTGGAGCACAGTCCAGCATAGGCCTTAGAGGGGTAAATTGGTGGCTTTAACAGCTCTCAGCCCACAGATGGTAAAGGGTCAGACAACTGCTCAGAAGGAGATTACAGAGGTTCCTTTCCTGGCACTGGGTGCAGGACTCTATTGCATTGCCTACACTCAGTTTTGGGGCATAGTCCTGGCTCACAGTCTCAGGTCACAGTCCCAGAGTAAAGAGGAGCATTAGTACACCAGAGCTTGGGACCCCAGGAAAGCAAGGGATCCTAGAGCAGAAAAGAGTACTTGTGGTCATTCACAGACCAGAGCACAGGTCAGGAAAACAGTAAACACACTTCTACCTAGATCATACCACCTTGGAAGAACTAAAAACTTACAGACTCCCAGAACTAGCGCCAAAAACAGCTACACAAAAAACCTGAAGCTTGGGACAGTGCCCCCTCCACCCCAGGAGCAGAGTCCAATTTTTAACATAAAGTTAAGAGTTAAGAAATCAGCCAGAAAAATGAACAAGCAACAAAAAAAGAACCTGACCATAGACAGTTACTATAGTGACAAGAAAGATCAAAACACAAACACAGAAGAAGACAACAAAGTCAAAACTGCTACATCCAAACCCTCAAAGAAAGTGTGAATTGATCTTAGGCCCAAAAATAATTCCTGGAAGAGTTAAAAATGGATTTTAAAAATTAAATAACAGAGGTAGAGGAAAAATTAGGAAAAGGAATTAGAATGATACAAGAAAATCATGAAAAAAGCATCAACAGCTCGGTAAAGGAGGCATAAAAAGTACTGAAGAAAATAACACCTTAAAAAAACAGAATAGGCCAAATGGTCAAAGAGGCAAGAAAAAAATCCAATAAAGAAAAGAACAACTTAGAATTGGCCAAATGGAAAAGGAGGCACAAGAGCTCACTAAAGAAAATACTTCCTCAAAAATTAGAATTGGGCAAGTGGAGGCTATTGACTCTATGAGACATCAAGAAACGAACAAAATCAAAAGAATGAAAAAATAGAAGAAAATGTAAAATAGCTCAGTGGGAAAACAACTAACCTGGAAAATAGATAAAGGAGAGATAATTTTAGAATTACTGGAGTACCTGAAAGCCACGATCAACAGAAAGAGCATAGACATCATATTTCAAGAAATTATCACAGAAAACTGCCCTGAAATTCTAGAACCAGAGAGTAAGAGAAGTTGAAAGAATCTACCAATCACCTCCTAAAAGAGATCCCAAAATGAAAACTCCTGGGAATATTATAGCCAAATTCCAGAGCTCCTAAGTCAAGGAGAAAATATTGCAAGCAGCCAGAAAGAAACAATTGAAGTATCATGGAACCACGGTCAGAATAACACAAGATTTAACAGCTTCTACATTAAAGGATTAGAGAGCTTAGAATATAATATTCCTAAGGGCAAAGGAGCTTGGATTACAACCAAGAATCATCTACCCAGAAAAACTGAGTATAATTTTTCAGGGGAAAAATGGATATTTAATGAAATTGAGAACTTTTAAGCATTTCTGATGAAAAGACCAGAACTGAAATACAAAATTTGAATTTCAAATATAAGACTCAAGAGAAGCACAAAGAGGTAAACAAGAAAGAGAAGCCATAAGGAATTCAATAAGGTTAAACTGTTTATTCCTACACGGGAAGATGATACTTGTAACTCCTAAGAACTTTGTCATTATTAAGGTAGGTAGAAGGAGTACACACAGACAGAGGGCATGGGTGTGAGTTGAATATGATGGGATGATAGC